CTCACTTCATTCATTACATTTGAATTTAACTGGTAGAATTAGGATAATGATTACTGATTAAAACGTCGTCCACATGTCCTCTATAAGGTGGTAAGTTTTCAATTGAATCTTGCGATAAACTACCAATGTGCGATATATAGATATCTGGTTAAAGGAATTATTGATAAGACATATTACTTATTCAAAACTATTCCAGATTTGAAAAAAACAGTAAACTGAGTGGAAAGGAATATTCATTTTCCCTTAGTTCTTCAGAAACTACTCTACACTAGAAGTACGGATTCACATCAAAATAGACCAATCATGTGGTCATGTAAGTTATTAAGATTGGCCAGTTGTAGGACACAGAACGGGTAAAAACAACCGATTACAAAAATGAAGATGGCTCATACGATCCTTAGAGGTTATTCTCAGGTGAATTTTTGTGGTCATTAATGCATTGTGAGTAGGCGTTCTTCATTTGTTGATACCCGGGAGTTCAGTGGATTATACGGAGTTAATACATCTTATTGAAATAGTGACAACAGTTTAGTTCCACAGTTTTAGGAGAAATAATCTTTGGAATTCTATTCATGGTGTTCATGGTCTTCAGATGGGTTATTTTCACTAATTCTTTGTCAATTAGACTGAAATAGGTATTAGACAGATACTAATTTCTTTAGGTACATGTTCACCTGGAGTCTCACAATTTATGAAAGATGATTTGCATATTAAATAAGTGCACTAATCTTTACTTATAAGTATTCCTTTAAAGAATGTATTCGTATCCAGGCGTATCAGATCTGGAGATTTCAAATGAATATTCCTTGTTGTCGGTTCTACTAACCATCCCTTTATCACATACTGTTGCATAAATCACACTCTGAAGCGTTGACAGAACACTGTATTTCTCAATGTTTCAGTGTATATCCAGTGACTTTCTTTCAGGGCACATTTTGTTACTTAGCCTAATGAAAGTCAGTATGATGAGTCTGGCTACTGTTGGGCAAAAAAAGAACCACGTAAATGTGATCGTTTCTGCCAGCTGACAAAATTGCTGAATGTCAACATTCCAGGCAGTGCTTAGAAATGTTCTTATTTCTAGACTGATTTGCCAATCATACTCAACAACAGGTAACATGAGTGGAGTATATTCACCTGAAAGTCTCATCTTTTTCGTCGAAACGTTCGACCAATAAGACTGTTATAACCGTAATGAATTACGATAAACCGCGTCGCCAATTTGTTGTAACTGTAGCGGGAATTAAAATGAGGAACGTTGTTGCCTTGTTCTGTCTGCGCCTGACTAATATGCCTATCTGCTTCTGGTACCTTCCGATTCAGCGAACCACGCAAATATCAAAAGACAAAGTCTGGTCTCTGACTGTGTATTGTAGTACAACAACTATGACTACGACGACGACTACAACAACGACGACAACTAAACTTATTTAGGAAATGGTATTTATACAATTTTACAACCAATAGAGACAGCTAACAGTATTTGAAATAATTGGTCGTAATAGTCAATAACAAAATGCGTGGGAATGATGACATACCACTTATGCGAGATTAACAGTCATTAAGATAATTGAACAATAACAAGGTGTGTGGGATCCTATCAAAGACACTATGAACAGCCTGTTTAGGATACCATGTTAATACAGAATGTTTCACAAGCAAACATTCACTAGGTGAGAAGGATGTGAGATTGAAATGTAAATGGCCAGTAAATCACTTGAGGCAGTTAATTTAAATGCAAAACACAGGTAACACCCTTGAGATATTCTTCCCATAATCCTAAGTTGGAAACCATTCTAGGATGCGTATGAACATACGTAAGTTTTCAAAGATGTGATTACATAGTGTAAATGCTGAGAAGTTGGGTGAATTTTTTTTATAAAAAAGAAGGTAGCTTAGTGTTTTTAGACAGAAAATCACAGATAGTTCCGTATTAGATTTATTATATATACATTAGGTATTTAATAAGAAAATTGTGTTGTTTTGTCGGGTTATGAGTGAAATTGGATCAGAAATTTGGATGATGTCTGAAATGATTGAAACTTACGTGTTATTGTCTCAACGCAAGAAGCTAATGTCTACATCTAAATGTTTAGCTGCGCACGAGTTGCACCAACGGCAGCAACAACCAGTTCCTTACGAGATGATAATGGTTGGAAAGCGACATATAAAAATACTTGGTATGGTTAGAATGGTAATTACTGAGTCTATTTAAATTGCTGCCTGTTGACGAACAATTGTTTGTACAAATAACAAACATATTCATTTTTGTTTTGGCTCCTCATCAACGTTCATGTGCTAATATGTGCAAATTTACATAAAAACTATACCAGTCATGTTGTTATGTCAGTGACATTACTGAAGGTAAAAATAAATGCGGAATTCTAGACGACTCAGTTAACAGAGGTTAGAAAAAACTTACTATGCAATTGAACAATCAGGATGTTATAAGTTCGTTGTTCAACACTTCGTGAATTTCTCAACTTACTACAATCTACGCAGATTCACTTCCCTTTATCACTGGAAATGTTTTAACATTTTCATTGTGCGAATTTCTGTTGACGAATTTCTAGGCAAATTTCCTTTATTCACTTTCAGATATCACGTAAAATTAACCATGCACCACGTTATCTCTCACTTTGTCACAAGATGTCCACGGAGTCAAGATCAAAGTGCTAACTATATTATTTGATGAGAATCTAGTAAACATAAAAAACGCACTGACGACTACCACTCAAAGAATCACCTCATACATTTAAGTTAACATAAAGAAATTTTGAACCTTGGCTTAGCATATTTTCTTAATTCACCACTTTTAATCACATAAAATCACATGGTTCAAAGTTAAATATTTTCAGTTGTGATAAAACATTTTAACTGAATGTTGAAATAACGACTTTATTATACTGATGAAAAAATTAGTTTAATTTGAAGACTTTGGTCTCAATTAATGAACGTCCTATAATTTTTAGTTAACATATTAAATTTCGATTCTTGACTTCCTTCAATTTTTTATGAATTTACCACTTTTTATCAAATAACTCGACATGGTTCAAAGTGAAACATTTTCCGTCGTGTTTAAAGTCTCAAATGAATGTTGGAACGACTACTTCATTATTCACACCAATAAGAAAAATTAAATTTCAAATTAGGACTTTGATACCGATTATTGAACGCTTTACAACGAATCAAAAAAACTAAGAATCAAAGTATGAGTAATTAGCTGAGCATCTTTTTCTGCTGAATACTGTAACGTCTGGTGTGAGATGGCTTTTCTCTCTCAGGTAACCAGTTCAATATATATCATATGTCGTAACTATCGTTTGCTTGTCATTATTCAGAATGTCAAAGGGTACACTCTTCGTGGGATTTTATGCCTTCTAGTTTCATGACTCTACAGTTTATGAGGTTTATTACTTGATATCAGTAGTAAACAGTCATCCAAATATACGATAATTCTATCAGTATCTTTCTCTTCATGTCTTTTATTGACATCCTGAAACATACCTGAACATGCACTTGGAGTCGTAATGTTTCTCGCCCTGCAACGCCACTTGCATTGTTCACATCAACAGACTTGAATAACCTTCCATCGCTAATTAAGATTCCAAATATGTAACATACTATAGTAGCGTTCACTGAAGGAATCGTCGCAATGAATTAAAATCTCTGCTGCAGACATTTGCATAGTATTTCTTGTTTAACATAGACTGTGACATCTGTATTTCGTAGGATATGAAATGTGCAAATTAGAATCATATCTCACATATATAGGCGATCATTATGCATCAAAATTTCACGTTAAAAGTCAACAAAACGACCTGTTGTGTTTGTTACAGAATAATGTTTCGCACTTCCAACGTCATGAAAAATTTATCAGTTTGGTTTTTGAAAAGATCATCAGTGAATACTATCAGAACTAAGACAAATTCTATGAATTTTTTATTTTTTAGGTTGCTGAAAATCCTGGTATGTATTGGCGTGGTTATGCAGTCGTTGGTTGCCTGTAAGTCTACCTTTCTGCAATTTTTCGTAAAAGCACTATTAGTAGTGTATGACTGTAAATGCATTTATGTTCAGTAATGATTATAATCTACATAGAACCAGTCAGTTCAGTTGTTGGAGGCTAGAGCTATGGACTTAATCCAAATACTAACCTAAATGATACACTGAATTCTCGTCAGTATTCTTTTCAGATATATATGACATCGTTCAGGTTCACAGTTCATCAAACCTCATTAGGCACATTTAAATGCATTGATTGATGCGTTGACTTAAATTATGAAAATGAATTATACCTGATATGAATGAATTCGAGGTGGTTATTTTCTTTACACCTTGTGCTCATATCGCAGTTCATCTCAACAGCATCTTCAACCTCAAATTTCTAGGTTAAATAAGAGTTTGCGATTCTGCATGCTGGTGTTCTGAGTACAAAAATATTGTATTCTCATTGGGCCATCAAAGACATAAAAAAAAAACGAAGGTACGAAGAAAACCATGGAAAATGATGTTCAGGAGAAATATAAAAGACTCATTTCCTAATGGGTATGGGCTGGCAAATAATGAATAGTTAAGATAGGAAATTATGCATCGGATACTTAACGAAATGGAACAAATCGGACTTCCTTGAGACAGGAATATTGGAAAACCAGACATTGTCCCTTAATTATATTCACCTCATCTCAAACAACGTATCGGACTATTAGTCTGATGACCATAAGATTACTCATGGAATTTAGTGAGTTAGTGTCTGCTACGAGTAGTTCCACAAGATCTCCACAAATGTCGAAATTTCTTCTCCCATTAACCTTAAAAGAATTCGATGAATAAGAAGTAAATCGAGTAACGAATAACTGAAATGAAGATATGGACACACAACCAATTGATAATATGCTTTCTGCACGTGATAACGACATCACAGAATCGACTGATTTTACATTATTAACTCTGTTGCAGATTCCGGAATTCATTAGAGCTGTTTTCTACTTGTATTTTAGAGTATTGATTGTTCTGCTTTGCTTGTTGCTATTCTACAAATTCAGAAATAATTTGCAAGTTGCTTTGATGCTGATAGGAATAATAGTAAGTTTCTGAGAACATTAAAATTATGAATTGATTTCATTTACTCATTATCATCATTTCGTATGTGATGTGTTATTCACTCGAAAATAGAATGAATAGTTTTGGCGAAACAATAGAAGACATAGGTTATCTAAATCGTCTAATATTTTTGAAGAAAAATTGAACTAATTTGGGTCAGAATGTTCAGTGGTTTAGATCACAGACAAGGCGTGGATAAGTAAGGAAGGAATAAAGGAAGGTTGAAAAGATTGTAGGATGAACCTAGGTACTAAAACTGGATTACGAAGACAGGTAAAGATTAACAGGAAATGACCTTTTAACACGTAAAACAGGTTTAAGCCTTTTCACTGTTGAGGTTTCATTGAAACTAGGTATATAATTACATCTATTTAACAGTTAGGTATGAAAAGATTAAAACGGACAAAATTATGACCTGACTCTGTGAGACGCTGACCGAAAGATGACATTGGAAATATATTTCCAGTACCAGGTGAGTTTATTTCTTCTTCCAGCCGTTTCGAAATGTGTTCTTTTCTGACCATTAGAGAAAGATGAGTCCCCCCAAAATACATGTGACTGTGAATGCATGTGTAAGGATGAATAAAGTGAGATGCCACTGGAAAACAGAAATTTCGTCACTCACTCAAAACGAAAACCAAAACAACAAGCATAAAAATGTTTACCTCTCATAAAGGTGAACACGAGGCTTTAAGATGTGTAAGTCCATTATGACTGTGGTCATTCAGTGACAGCCAGAGAGAATTAGAGCAAAATAGCCACACTTTGTATTATACCACTGATTTGAAAAATATTAAAATATTTCTATTCACGTATTGAAACGGTTTGCTTTATTTTGCCAACAGATTGTACTATGGTCTACCAATATCTTGTTTATATGTTGCGACTTTAAACAAGGCAACTGGTATATTCTCTTGGTCTTCATTATTCTGGAAGACTTGTTAACAATCATCTTCTGTATCTTTATCAAAAGATTGAAACTAGTAGTGATGATAATCACAATGATCTTGTCGGCAGTGTATGTGATAACCGGCGTAGTCCTGCTTCTCGCAGGGAAGCGTAGAGTAAGTGAATTGAAATATCAAATGAATAGTTGCATTATAACATTTATTCCTGCAGTTACAAAAATTGTTTTATAATGACTATTATTCACATTTAATTTGAACCACTTGCTTATCTCTGTATTCTTGAGGTCAGCCATGCACACACTAACAGGAAAGAATAACGTGAAGAAGACTGATTTTCCAGTACTTCATTAATCGTAAAATATTCACATATCTGTGAAACGGTATCCCACTTATTTGATATGTAAATCTCTAATGATGTGAAATAGATCTACTGCTTAATGGAAAGAAATGTGCAGGTGAAATTTTAATGGAAAGGATCATTGCACTACGCGCTTTCTTACTCACCGCATAGTTGAAATTGTATGGACAGTGAATTTTTGTAAATATACATTTCGTAGTTGCGGTTGATTTGACATTTAATTTGATCACTCATTCACTGAGATTTATTGATTTCATTTAATCTTCTTTAACTCCTGATGAAAATTCGGAATACAATTCACTTGGAAACATTCCAGTACGTTTTGACTGCATTTGCCGGTGGCCTTTGGAACACTGCTCTAGCTCTGGTAAGTTCACACATTTTTTTCCATCTTTTATGAAAACGAATTCTTCAATGTCTGATTTGAGCGAAAAACTCATCTGAATACATAAAGAGTATATAAGAGAACAGAAATTTATGTTGACGAGGCTTCATAATGTAGTTAAATGTATTTCATCCATTCAGAGAATCAATAAACTGACATCAATGTAATTGAAACTCTGTATATTCATGTTATCATATTTTGAATTTCGTTTCTTTCAGGTTGCTCTGGTTTTCGCCAGCTGTCTCAAATAACTCTGAAATCACATGGTTCATTTGCATCGTCTCGCGCAATTTTCGGTGTAATACACGCTTTGGTACAACAGCATTCATTCAATTTTGTATAAACGAATGACAGTTCACATTTCCAATTTTTAAAATATATTGTTGATTGTGTATTAGAGCTTGCACTTTTATTTGTGTAAAAGAGTTTCTGCAGAATGTAATGGCTAGTGTTTCTCATGAGCTTTGTGATTTCCTATTTGAAAGAAACTGAGCCCATTTTGATTATTTCCTTCTGACGAAGAAACGGTAGCATAAATATTTTGTTGAACCTGAAATGCAGAGATGTCAATTTCATGTAAAATCTTATCACATTTAGGTGACGTTGATAAAGTTATTGAAATTATTCTCAAATAAAACTAAGAGAGGGATTTTCGAAAGAAATAAATACACTTGGAAATATGTAGCGAAACCGGACGTCATAAATGGATACGGTTATAAGTCTACGAAGGAAACTCATAAGTGATCACTTACTGCTCACTGTGTCACGTTGTACAGCAGTGTGGTCTTGATTAAGAGCAATCACTTCATTTCCGATAGTGTCCAATGAAAGTGTGGTCATATGTGTAGCCTTCCTCAGATGTGCATCAGTCATCCTTTTTCTTTTCTTGTAGACAGCAGTGATAATTAGTCACTTTATATTTGCAGCTGACACAAAATCATGAAATTGTTGACTTTAGGCCTTGTCATTGTACTTGATCTATTATGACAACCACACATACACAACTGATGCATTCGAGTCAGAAACATCTGCAGAAGTTTCAAAAAAACATGATAGTTCATTTCAATCTACATATTTCTGGTTGTCGCGATCAGTATCTATGGCTTCATTCAAGACCATTCCCTCGCAATTTCATCTTATGAAAATACATTTCTCACTGTGTTTTCTCTCTCAAAAGGGAAGCTTGAGCATACTTTAAAGTGACAAGAAAATCATTGACACGAAAAAAGCCTACAAAAAGACCTTAATACATCTGTCTAAAAATGCAGCTGAGAATGAACCACTCCTACTGAAAACCACTTCAATTACCAAGTGAAATGTAAACACATAAACTAGGAATAATGACCGATCAGTCACACAGATGCAGATAACATACACAATAATCAACACGGAATTAAATTATGATGAGACGTTCACACTGCACTGATAGATGTAGCATATCACTGATTCACGCTATGCAGACTATCAGTGAGAGTTATGAATGTGTGAATTCAAAACATTGATGTCAATACATCAGTCGAAAATCAGGCAGTCTAAATTATAGTTAAGCGAATGTTTATCAATTTCGCTGAATAAATATGATTGACATTGAAAGCATGAAATAACATTAAACATACGTCTCCATATGTAATCTACTCATGACGTGTATTTAAGCATCACTGATATAAGAATAAAACTTGTGCACTGTGGTAGAGTATAATTCCATTATGGATAAAATTTATCTTGATAAAGTTTCACAGTGTTATACAGTAATGTTTACTGATGACTTTTCGAGCACAATTTATTGCCACTCATAATCATATCAAGGTACTCACACGACTTTCTAACTTCGTTTATATATTTCCATTATTTTCCATCGCTTGATTTGATTGGTAGTAGTAATTTCCATATTCCCGGTATGAGTGATGAGTCATTCCTATTGCATGTGTTGGGTGTAGACTCGATGAACAAGGATTCAGTAATCAACCTCTGTCTCTCCATCTACCTAGATTAATTCTTAGAATTTTAACCCTCTCTCACCCTATTGTGTGATTGTGTGTTAATGCATGTAGTGCAGTTGCTGAGTTTTTTCTAAATTACTTATCTTCTCGGGGTCGACCATTCTAACCTTAGCTAAATTCTTGTGTTCCGACAATCTGACTACCCCTGACCTACTAGTTTGACCTATGTAGTTGATCTCACATTCAATGCAAGGTATTTTGAAAATAACATTATTTTGTGTAATAGGGTCAACAAGATCCTTTAACCTACAGACCTTGTCCTGGCTGAGAGAGTTTGTAGGTTTAAATGGCACTGTAATTCCTGCTTTATTCAGAATTCTACGTAGGGTCCAGATGTCCCCTCCTTATATGGTATAACAGAAGATGCCTTGTATTCACTCTTATTTATGTTATCATTACTAGTTTTCCAATTATTTTTATTTTGCTTTTGGGATAGTTAATTATTTAACACCAACGCTTCTTCTTCTATCTGTTTCATTTCATCATTTAGGTCTTTTTTGTGCTACTCCTTGGTTTGTTAAACACTTAACTACGCCTGCCTTAAAAGTTAACGGATGAGATGAATTAAAGTCTAAATATTTCTTAGAGTGAGTTGGTTGTTTATAAATACTAGTGTGCAGTTTACCTTCTTCTATTCGTTTGATTTAACAACCTAACATCTCAGCTAATTCTCCTTGTTCATTTTCCGATTCAAATATGAATTTCATATCCACCAATAATGTGTTTATGTGTGTCAAGAAGCTAGAGATATGTTCTGTTTTTAACACTGTGAAAGTGTCATCCACATATCTCCACCATATTTTTGAAGTAGGACTAAATGTATTTAGAGCAATGTTTTCCCAGCTGTCCATAAATATGTCTGCTACGATAGATGATACTGATGATTCCATTGCTAAACCTTCTGTTTGTGTACACCGTGTGCACAGTGCAGGAATAAAAGTGGCATTTAAACTTACAAACTCAGTCATAAACATACTTTGTTGGTTAAAGGGTCTTATGAAACCTTTAAGACAAAACAATTTAGTTTATCTAATAGCCTGCAATTAATGTCAGGTGAAATAAGTAGGTCAAAGGTATAGAAGAGGTGCAGTCAGACTAGAGGAGCACAAAAGCCCAGTAAATTCTAGATGATTTGAGCCAAATAAGACATGAAATCCTGAGAACAGTTCAGCTATAGTACTCACTACGTGAAATTGCACACAACCATATAATTAATAAAAATAAATAAGATGACAGTTTCAAAATCTAATGAAACCTGGTGGAGAGAGAGATTGACAATGGAAGCTTGGTTTATCGAAACAAATGCAAACAATAGTAATGGGAATGATTGAACACTTGTTTAACCAGATATCTGGAAAATTATACTACATCTACGACAAATAGGAGAGAAAAAACAACTACAAAACTCAAGTTTCGAAGTCGTGTGATTACAATTGATATGACTGTAAAAATAATTTTTGTTCGAAACGTCATCCAGTAAATGATTATGTATATAATGTGATGTATATAATAAACTAATTACCAAGGAATTACTTACTACCACAATTTTCAAGTTTTACACATATATTAACTTCACAATTGAATTTTGAGTGTTCAGTTTCCTACGTCACATCTGTTTTGCGGGCGGTAAAATTATCCGGTTGTTCAGGAGACGCGTGATGCTGAACCTGAGCTTTTCCAACAGTCGTTGTTTTGTTAAGGTTGACGATTCTAGATTTCACTAGTTTCTTATTTCTTCATGTATCAAATTGATGCAACCCTGCTGATTTTAACTCAGTATCATTTAAGAGTATCAGATGAATTAAATCATTTTGCTTAATGGGCTCCACAGAATATTTCATTTGACCTATTTTATTTCTGAGTGAGTTTGTGTATTTGAATGCCAATTTTATTTCTGTCGTGTTAAGAGCTGAACGTCAGATTTCAGTGGTCCTCTCTTTGTTTAGTAGCAGTGCTGAATTTCTACTTCCCTTATTATTATTAGTATTGTCATCCTTCTGCGAATGATTGTAATTTATTTTGACTCTATAATTACTGTTGATTTAATCCTCACAGTGACACAATCCAATATTGGGATCTCTGCTTCATATAAAATTTGAATTTGTTAGCTTTGCACTGACAACAGTAAATTTAGTTCGAAAACGTCCTCCAGTAGAAAACATGGTTTCACTCTGTGAAATATGCAACAAACAAATTAATAAGCCAACGGTGTTTTAATTTGTACAGAGTTAGGTTGCAAGCCTTTCTCACTCGGCCTTCACCTTCCCTTTTTTCAGATATCTGCTAGTTATAGTTTAGTAAAGCGTTTGACAGGAACAGTATGTAGAAAGTTTTTGTATGTTCTGTGAGCTTTCATTCATTTAACCACCAGTACATGATTATATTTGGTGTTTTGAGACAAAAGGTCCTGGGA